TGCGTTCTGACGCTGAGTAATGTAGTAAAATCGGCAATATTGGAAATTCGCATAACTAGTGAACTTTTTCTGGTAATTCCAGAATATAGTAGATGCACAAATGCAAACATCTCCTAGGGCTGTGCTGTTAAAATGAAGGAACACGCTCTTTCAATGTGCACTGAGCTATTTACACTAATTTTTGTGAGTATCTATAGACCCATGTGCTTAGGTCGCTGAAAGTCTTGGCTCAAAGAATGAGAATACAGTACAATTCATTTTTTTTTCACTTAGCATTTTTTAATTTAAAAATTCTAGCACAATTTTTTTCTTTTCAGATTGCCTGTATAGGTCCTCTTGTTTACACCATTTTTCACAAGGGATGTAAATCTGTAAACGTACCAACTGTTCCTCTGATAACGGCTTTCCTCACCTTAGCATGTGCTTGCCAATTTGGTGAGTACTGACTTTGTTAAGCATTAGCAATACATGGTACACAACGATATTGATGTCTCTTAATTACATTTAGAGAACATCCTCTGCATTATGAACCTTTTGATGTGAACCCTTTAGGTTTGGTTTTCATGTGGTGGCGGACTACGACAATATTAGGCGGCGAATATTCAGTTGCTCTTTACCTGCTTCTCTTCGGTTTGGCCCTTGTCAATGCCACCTCCAATGTGTTGTTCATGCCCTTTATGGCGCAGTTTCATCGTGCCTATCTCAATGCTTATTTTGTTGGTATGGGGCTCAGCGCGCTCATTCCCAGTTTGGTATCTCTTGCTCAAGGTATGTTGTTAGAAAGCTCTGACGATTCTTTTTTCTCAAGAAGGTTACATGCAAAACTAAATTTTGCTTTATACAAGACGAAATATAAGAATGTTCTCTACATTTAAAAATTTAGGAGTCGGCAATTATGAATGCAAAGACACTATGCCAATCTACTCACCTCCTCGCTTCCCAGCCTCAACATTCTTCCTTGTGATATTTGTTTGGACTGTCATAGCCACCATAGCCTTTGAATTCCTTTCCAAAAGTGACGAGCACAACAGGTATAGTGCGAGTGTAGAGCAAATAGCTTAGTCTAATATCCATCTTTATATTTTGAGCGCACCAAAGTCAAGAGATATCGCTCACGAAGAGACACCTCTAAGTAAAACAAGGTCAAAGATAGATCAGGCTAACGAGAGCGGTGAAGCGCTTTCCCCAAAGGTAATGCTGCAAATTTCTAGCACGTGTAAACTTTAATTTAAATAATACATGTTTAGTATACATTTGATACGGCAACTTTATTGTTAAGTCGTGGTTCGTTAGAATCTTTCAATAGGAATGGAATATTTAGCATCTGCTTCGTTTCGCTTCAATGATTTTAAGGCACATTACTAGTGGTTTCAATGAAGTCACTTATAAGTCAAAGTTATTCTCTTTATTTATTCCATTTAATCGTAAAACACTTGCTGAATACAGCCGGAGAAGTTAGGCAAAAGCTCAAGGAACAAGCTCCATGCATACTGCAAAAAAATATGCAAAGACCTTCCTTCTTATGAGCTCCACTCAAGTACAATCATGCAATTGTCTCCACTGAGGAGTGAGGAGACAGTTGCATGATTGTGGTCAGTAACATATTTTGAATACGCTGTCCGAATACCATATTTATGCTGCACAGCGATTTCTTCCCATAGGAGTACGTTGACGGCATGATGGGCTGCTTATCGAAATGACGGAGGTCAAAGCAAGTTGATTAACTTTTGCACGGCTAACGTCGCCACCATACTAATTTTTGAGAGGCTCTGAGAACATGACTCTAGGGTGCGCTATCGTATCCCTATACTAAGACAAACGCTGCAGTATGGATATGTTATTCGAATTCAGCGTATCCGAAAACCTTTGTGCGTACTTGTCTGACCAAATCCATGCTTTCAGAAAAGCTAAAATTTAGTGAGAGCATCGTGTATTCATCCGGTTCTCAATGTTCAAATTGGTTTCGCCGCTAATCCAGTTTCTATATGTTGATAAAAGTAATAATGGTAAAAGTCGGTTAGGATAGTGTTCTCTGCTAAAGTTAGTCCAAGCACGATAGTTTTCCAGAATAAGCATGATATCAGTAGGTGTGTGCCTGGGTTCCACAGAATTTCCGTCTCACGTTTTAGGCTACCGTCCTCTGCTAAGACGTTTCACTTTTGCAAATTTCCTGATTTCCTGCTGAAGAGATGAGATTGAATGGCTTCGACTAAATTTTTGAATTGAATTAGAGAATGTTCGACATGGCTCAAACGGCATGGCAGAACATGTAACTAGATAAATTAACTCCTACTCTTGAAATTTGTAGATGCCCACTGTCTGCACATTTTGCAGAAAATAGGAGGGTCGTAATTCTCAGAGAAAGAAGAAATATTTGTGTACCATGATACATTTGCACTTGTTGAAGGTGGACAATAGAACAAA